TATATATATATTTCACACACGCAGAATACAAATATATAATGTACAAAATTCTGTGCGTCTCCTGGGGGCTAAGCCCCCCTTGTCCTTAAAACCTAGTGACACCCCTGATGACGGGTTCAGAAAAAGAGACGTGAACTTTGAGTGCTGAATAATTTGTTGGGTCATTTTTCTCACTACTAAGAATAACACCTTGAGGACTCCTGGTGGGGGGTGTGCTGGTGGTGAGCCGAGAGGCTCCGAGTGGTCCGCAGATGGGTTTGTGTGGTCTTTGAGGACCTGCCAAACTAGTTACCACAGTTCCCTCTTTCCTTGGCTTCACGGTCGACCCAGCGGATGTACTTTCTATTTTGACGATGCTTTAAAAAGCCCAGGGACAAACGATGAAAATGGCAGTGTTGGATGTAACAGCCAGGGTTAAATCTCCTGTTTTCCTGTGTGAAAGCTGCACAAAACTGCAGCAGAAAGGAAGAATTCCACGTTGAGATTAGAGGCTTATCGTGTTGCTGCTGGAGCTTGGCCCAGGGCAGTCCGTCACCTCCCCGTGACTTGCTTCTCTCTGGAGCAAACTATCAGATCTGCAGCAGACAAACAGATCGTTAAGGGTTAACGCGAGGAAAATACATCTTACTGGCAACGTTTTACTGTTTTCGTTCATCTCCGCATTTCTCAGAACAGTCTCAGAAAAACAAGTCAGAGTGCAGCAATATTCCCCTGCGCTGTTGTTTGGCTGATCAGTGATAAATTACGGTCTTCAACTAACAAAACAAGCACAGGTTGAGAAAAAAATGACTGAAACTAGAGAAGGGAGCAGGGGCGGAGCTAGATATTTTTTATGGGGTGGCACAGGGGTGGCCAAGGTGTATTTCAGGGGTTATCATACAAGTTACTAAAACCACTATGGATTTGAAAATTCAAAATATCCTTCACCGCAACATCTAAACGGCTCTGATTCAGCTGTTTTTAAGAAATACTGAGCTGAAATTTTGTGTGTGATTGTATTTAAGAATGATCCAAAAACATGCTGATTGTTAATCTCAACCGAAGATAGCTGCTAATGCTAATGCTAATTTCACAAAGGGCTATAATTTAGCCATTTTTAACACACACTGCTGAAATTTAGCGCAGTAGCCCAGACACAATCAAATACAAAATCCAAGATGGCTGCCATAGCTGATTTTAATGGTTATATTTCAGCCATTTTTTAAAATACTGAGCTGACATTTAGTGTGGTGGTAGCCAAAAGCATTTCTCATGGCATTCTTAAAGCTACCTCGGCTAGCTAAACATATTTTTCTATTAAATGCTCATCTTTGAAATGCCACACGCAAAGCTCACATCACTTGTCACTCATTTGAGGGTGGCCAGTCATGTGCCAGGGGTGGCACTTACCACTCTGGCAACCCCGCTGACTCTGCCCCTAGAAAGTAGCTCTGATGTTGTCCACAGKGTTGTTGAGCAAGTAAAAAATATACTGTATTCCAGTGTATCAAGTCTGCAGGCTCACAGAAGAGACGTCTCTAACACAACATGCCTTTGGAATCATTTATGCTTTTAGGTTTTTTATGTAATGTGATTAAATCTTTGATTTAGCTTGGCAGGATTTTCATTTTGTAATCATCTACTGCATATAAATTTAAGAGTCAGAGTCAGTGAGTCAAATATAATTTGAATAAATGTCAGACATAAAAAATATATAATTCCGGCTGCCAGAAAATAAAAACAACCTAAAAACTTTCAGAAGTAATTGCTGAACTGAGCTCAGTTACTTTTTTATTGGTGTTTGCAAAACAAAATTCAGAAAGGAATTCCCATTTAATTATTTTAAAACAAGCAATGAGACTTTTAAATGAATTCTGAAAGGAGCCACTGCAAAGAGGCTCAAACTGTCAGGAGCTGAGCTGCAGCATTTCAGACATGTTGCAGTCAGAAAAACTGAGAATCGTCAGGAACAAAATAAAATCTTGAATTCATCAAGTCTGGATTAAAAACAAAACAAAACAAAACAAAAAACTGAGTGAATCAAAGAAAAGTCCTGCCATAAAAGRTGAGCAGAATCTCTCATAAATTTCAAATTTCAATGAAACTTTCAGAATTTTCTTTTTGGACGATGCTCAACAACTCATTATTAACATTTGAGTCTTTGGGAGCCAAAATAAAATGTAAAATAAAATGATAAAATCATAATTAACATATTTTTTTTAGCTTTAAGTGTAAAATCCTATTGGAAAATTTTTCACTAAAGCGGCTAGTGCGGCTAACGCGGCTAATGTAGCTAATGTAGCTAATGTGGCTAATGTGGCTAATGTGGCTAAAGCTTCTTGCAGTTGCAGCCATTGAATTCAATACATTTTGAATTTAGATTTTAAATACTATCCTCAGCAGCATTAGCAATTAATTTTGTTTCAGGGTGATGACATCACAACAACAGCCCAGCATCAACAGCAAAGGTTGCGTTTATTTCAAATACTTAATTTTAAACTTCAACATTTAGTCAAGATATTTAAAATTTACTTTTACATTTAGATTTACGTATTTAGAGTTAGAATTTAATATTTAGTTAGAATTTAATATTTATACATTTATACATATAACGTTTAACATTTGAATTTAACTCTTAGTAAAAAAATGGCAAAATTTAAAAACGGTGAGCTAAATAATTGTAAAATGTTAGTGGAAATTTTTTATCGCTCAGAAAATGAGCTAAATAAAGAAAATGTGACACTTTTTAAAATTTATTTTACACTTGGCACCGATATGAGTCAAGCTGATTAAAGATGATTATTTTAAATCTTGTTCTTTTGTTTTGCTCTTCTTATGTTACTTTTAGCTTTTTGTTAAAGTTAGATTTTAGCTCTCATTTTGCAACTTTTAACTACCATCCTGTTTTTTAGTTTTTCAGAACTTCTTTTAGAGCTTTCTTTAGTTTAAATATACCTTTTAATAAACATTTTCTTAAAAAAATAACAGCAAAAAAATAAAATAAATGATAATAAATAGCTTCTCGGCTGAAACGTGTTGTAATATTAAAACTGACTCTTAGATGGTTCGTGCAGCTAAAACGGCTCCAGATG